CTTGAATAGGAATTTGAGGAAATTACACCATTCCCTCTATTTTAAATACAATTTCAAATATTAATATCCACTATTTTTTATACCAAAAATACTGCAATATTTAAAGTATAATTGGTATATAAAAAATAACTTAACTTTTAAAATTAATCAATTAGGTAGCTAATATTACTCCACCAAACAAGCTATGTCACCATTTTGATCAAAACCCTCAGTTCTTGCCCCAATTCTTCTCTGCCATATCGTCATCTTTTATCTAAACGAAATACATGAGACTGGAAACCAAAATATTCAAAGGGGTTCATGGATCAGTCTTTTCCATACACCAAGGTGCCTTAATTCCATATTCTCGTCCAAAAATCAGTTTGTACAATAATAATATAGCGGACTAACATTGAGAGACATGATTGTTATAGCTGTGGAGATAGTGTTTACTTATGTTCTGCCATGTCTCATTGTTAAGATAATGCTTGGCCATCCATCTTCATCGACCGGTAGAGCACATTGAGCCTCTCGATGTGAAAATTGCTACTGATATTCCACAAGATGATTGCTGGTAAGTACATCGTTACACAATACTATGTGTATATCTACTTTGTTAAATGGGTCATCAATAAAATTATAATTATTTGGACACATTCTGACGTTATATTAGCATATATGTACAACATTGGCTCCACGAGAACATTAGTTTTTTGTCTGCAAACAACAGATACTTAAATTGAAATGTCCCTCTAACATCTTATTTCCATTTGTATAGCAATTAACAAAAGGATCTGTTGCTACTGTGCTCATTAAGAGTTGCCACTTTCTTTTCTTTTCAATATGTAAATATCCCATGTTCGCGAAATATTTCTTTCGATTTAAATTATCGCAAGTGTACGGTTCATTAACAAGTAATAAAGTGGATCAATTGAGTCCGAATATCGTCCCACAGAGATTGATTAATTCAATTTTACTTATTTTAGCCTTAACCGAAACTAATTGAGTTGAAACCCTAATTTTGGAATCAAAAACCCTAATTTGGGAGAAATCCCCAAATTGAAAAACCTTAATTTCAATTCAAACCCTAAATTGGAGGAAATCCCCAAATTGAAAAACCCTAATTTCAAATCAAACCCTAATTACTTAAATTCACTTAACTAATTACTCAATTACGAAATGTTATGAAAAATCGATGAAATGTATTATCAATTTATGAAAATCTATGTAAAACAAATGCACTAAGATCACGAATCCCCAAATAATTACTAATTAAACCCTAATTTCACAATTTTGATAATTCAATAGGAATTTGATAAATCAATGATCCTAAATCTATTCAATACTCTCTCTCGAGATGTATTGAACCTATTCTCATAAATCATCAGCCTATATCTCTATGACGGATGCAATTTTACAAGAACGCATATGATCCTTTTGTGAGCAATTAAAGATTTATATAGGACATAGGGGTATATTTCTATCCCCTATCGGACCCTATGATGAATTATATATGTCGAGTCTAATCTAATTTTCTCAAATTCAGAATTAAACCACCAAGTTCACACAAAGCAAGTGCACATTAATTGTGGAAATAAATAAACCAATATAATCCATTCAAATATCCATCAAACTAATAATTCAAAATCATGAAATAGAAAGTTTAATTGAAATTACATGGTTCATCGATCATCTAGTTGCAAAAATCTAGCCTACCATGATAAAAATAACGAAAACTAACAAAATATGAATGAAATACATCACCGGGTTGTCAAAGGTTGAAGAAATACATCACCGGGTTGTCAAAGGTTGAAGAAGTCTCGCAAATCTCGCATCAATTTCTTGTTCTTGCCTTCAATTCCACTCCAAGATTGATGTTTTTGCCTTCCAAGTCGTTCGTGCGGCTTCTGGACGTCTTATTGCTATTTAAACCCGTCCCAATTAGGTTACCAAAGGAGTTGCAATCGTATAAGGAAAGTGCAAAATTCGGCAAAATTTATAATTATGAGACCGCATAGGCATAACCTATGCGACCGCATAGGTTTAAGGAAAACGTCCTTTTCAATCCCTGGAGGTTCACTCGAGGTCGCATAGGTTTTATACTATGCGACCGGATAGTGGAGTTACTTTCTTGTTTGAGTCATTTTGGTCCTCAAGTTTCATTCCTTCACTCCTTGACCTCCTCTCTTGTTCCTAGTTGCTCCAATGGTCCCTTATAACTTCCAATTGGTGCTTGGCTTGATCAATTGCTTGATATATTCATCGGATCAACTTTCAGATAATTGCAATTTGGTCCCTGAATTTTCTCTTTGCTTCAATTTGGTCCTTTTTCGGCTCTTTTCTCCTGAATTCCACTATTTTCATAGAATTTCCTACATTGCATGAATTTGACAAGGTTAAGTAACAATTAAATCAATTTACCTGTATTTAAGTCATGTTTGTGATGTAAATAAGTGTGCAAAAACATTTTCTTATGCAGGAGTGTTTCTTCGTTTATCCATGCTTTGTATTTTGATTTCTTCATTTTCTTACTTCAATTTTTAATTTTTTTTTTCTTCTACATGTTATTTTTGTTTATTTCCATGTAAACAAAAGCAAAATTTGGCATGTGGGTTCCTGTGAATTCTTTTATAAACATCTTTTCTATTTATCCCATGTATTACTATTGATTCTATGGTTAATTATGTGGTGCAAACAATGAAAAAATAATTCTTTTGGTTTTTATTAATTTGACATGCAAACAAAGATTATGTGATTTTAATGCAACTCTAACAATAAAAAGAAAAATAAAGATGATAAATGGTAACGCGTTCAATGTCAGTCTACTAACCTATGGCATTACTAACAATATTATGGCCCCGTTTGTTTATCATTTTTGTAAGAATGAGAATGAAAGATATAGTCGTTATGAATTTCACACAAGAGATAGAAATTCAAATTTGATGACTTTATGTGACAGATAATGGTCATATTTTTCATTTTAATGGATAAAGAATGAGAAACAAACGGGGGGCTATATTTAGTTTCTTACACAGTCTCCTCACTATTGCATCTATGACCATGTTCTCATTGTTATTAAGTTTGCGGAATACATTATTCACCACAAGATTAATGAAATGTCAGAAAGTTTCGATCCAAACACCCATGGTCTTCCCTAGCCTTCCAACTCTACAAGCATGGACACTAGAAGCTAATTGAAGGTTGTGAAACGGACTACAGCCTTGTCCCATGGAGTGTGAGGAGGTACGTGAAGATGAAGGGTGTGGCTAACGCCTAGATAGGTAGAATTTTTATGTTCAATTTCTTCTATTGTTATAAAATACTACTGTCAAATATTTCCAATTTTTTAGTTATGTTTCCACAAGTATGGCCTATGCTTTTTGTATGCATTTGATCATGATTGATAAAAAACATGGGGATAATATGATGATTGTGGTTGGATTGTCAATGTTAGATTTTATATGAATATTGCTGTTGTTTTGTTCCACTTGCATGTAGCTGCTCATCTTATCGTGGTGTTACCGTATAACCAACATTTATTGATAGTGTTTTTGGTATATTATGGAAATCTTTTTTAATTTCAAGGTATATATGATGTTTATCCTTTTGAGGAACCATGTTCTACTTCTTTTCTTTGTGATTTTATTGTGTCTTTAATAATATATTAATATTAATCATTCATCATCTTATGGAAACGAAAAGGGTAATTAACACAAAACATCCCTACCTTTCGATGTTTTTGTGGAAAACGTCCCTACCTTTCATTTTTTGGTGGATTACACCCTTACCTTTACATTTTTTTGCGCAAAACATCCTTCTGTCAACTCTCCGTTAAAATGCTCCGTTAAATCAAAAAGGTAATTAGCATAAAAGGTCCCTACCTTTCAAAGTTATTGTGCAAAACGTCCCTACCTTTTATTTTTTAGCATAATTAGCAGAAAAGGTCCCTACCTTTCAATATTATTGTGCAAAACGTCCCTACCTTTCATTTTTAGCATTTTTACCCCTACATTTCACCTTTCATTGCGCAAAAGGTCATTTTCATCCATTTTTTCAATAAAATGACAATTTTACCCTCCTATTGAAATAAAACAAAAAGAAAAGAAAAAAATAATTAATTAATTGCAATCATAGTTCTAAATCTTTCAAAACATTACAGATAAATCCTAAATTCTCCACTACCGCCACTTTCACAACCCCACCAAGCCACCACCTATAGATCCATATAGCACCACTTTTCGACCACAACACATAGGACTCCACCACCACCAGCGTCGCCTCACTCTCCCCAATATCCTCCTCCATAGTATTGGTCACCAATCTGTCCGAAACAACCACATTTACGGTGGTGGAGTCCGGTGGGCATGGTGGCCGAAAGGTGGTATTATGTGGATTTATAGTTGGCAGCTTGATAGGTTGTGAAAATGGTGGTGGTTGAGAATTTATGATTTTTTGTAATTTTTTAAAAATTTAAGGATTATGGTTGCAGTTGGTAATTCATCTTTTCTTTTTGTTTTATTTGAATAGGAGGGTAAAATCGTCATTTTATTGAAAAAATGGATGAGACTGACCTTTTTTGCAATGAAAGGTGAAAGGTAGGGGTGAAAATGCTAAAAAAATAAAGGTAGGGACGTTTTGCACAATAATATTGAAAGGTAGGGACCTTTTCTACTAATTATGCTAAAAAATAAAAGGTAGGGACGTTTTGCACAATAACTTTGAAAGGTAGGGACCTTTTGTGCTAATTA